GAAGTCATGTTTGACAAATCTCATAGAGTTTTTTGAAGACATTTCTAGTAAACTAGATAAGGGTGAATCAGTGGATGTGGTCTATTTGGTCTTCCAGAAGGCATTCGATAAGGTGCCGCATAAAAGGTTAGTCCAAAAGATAGGGGCCCATGGAATTGGGGGGAGCATATTAACGTGGATTGGGGAATGGTTAACGGGTAGGAAACAAAGAGTAGGGATAAACGGGTCCTTGTCAGATTGGCGGGATGTGACTAGTGGAGTGCCACAAGGATCAGTCTTTGGGCCTCAGCTATTTACCATCTACTTCAACAATCTAAATGAGGACATCGAAGTTAATATATCTAAATTCGCAGATGACACAAAACGAGGAGGAAGTGTCAACACTGAAGATGACATTAAAAAAATGCAGTGCGACGTAGATAGGTGATTGGGCAGGTAGGTGGCAGATGAAGTATAATGTAGGGAAGTGCGAAGTCATCCACCTGGGTAGCAAAACAGTAGAGTGGGTTATTTTTTAGAAGGGGAGAGATTGGAATGTGTTAGTGTCCAGAGGGACTTGGGGTGTCCTTGTACACCAATCACAGAAAGTTAGTCTGCAGGTGCAGCAAGCGACAAGGAAGGCGAACGGTATGTTAGCATTCATTATGAAAGGATTAGAGTATAAGAGTAGGGAAGTCTTGCTGCAACTGTATAGGGCCCTGGTGAGACCACACCTGGAATACTGTGTGCAGTTTTGGTCTCCTTATTTAAGGAAGGACGTACTTGCCTTGGAGGGGGTGCAGCGTAGATTTTCTGGGTTAGTACCAGGGATGAAGGGGATGAGTTACGAGGATAGGCTGACCAATTTGGGCCTATATTCTCTAGATTACAGAAGAATTATAGAAACCTATACGATCATCAAAGGGCATGATAGATTAGTTAGTGGGAGATTGTCTCCCCCGGTTGGAGAAACTAAAACCAGGGGTCACAACCTTAAAATCAGAGGCAGCCCTTTCGCACTGAGTTGAGGAAGAACTTCTTCACTCAAAGGGCAGTGAATGTCTGGAACTCACTATCCCAAAGGACTGTTGGCGCTCAGTCCTTGAACATATTCAAGACTGAGATAGATATGTTTCTTATTGCCAAAGGGATTAAGGGATATGGGGATAAGGCAGGGTTATGGTATTAGCTGGAGTTAGATAAGATCAGCCATGATTGAATGGCAGGGCAAGTTCGAAGGGCCGAATGGCCTACTCCTGCTCCTACATGTTATGAAATAAGAGGGGCAAAAAGATTATACGAGAAAACTTTAGCATTTAACATTAAAGGGAATCCTAAAATATGTCACAAACATCAAGAAAAAAAGGTTAATCAAAGGTCGGGTGGGGCTAATTAAGGACGAAGGTGGAAATCTTATTGTGGAGGCAGAGGGTATGGCTGATGTACTGAATGAGTACTTTGCATCTGTCTTCACAAAAGAAGTGGAAGCACCAAATGCCGCAGTATCGGAGGAGAGGGCAGAGGAAATGGATAGGATAAGTATAAACAGAGAGGAAGTACTGAAAAGGTTGACTGCGCTGAAGGTAGATAACTCGCCCGGTCCGGATGGGATGCAGCCGAGGTTACTATGGGAGGTACGGGTACAAATAGCGGAGGCTTTGGCTACAATTTTTCAATCTTCGTTGGACACAGGAGTGGTGCCCGAGGACTGGAGAGGGGCCAATGTGACTCTCCTGTACAAAAGAGGACAGAAGGACAAACCTGGGAACTACAGGCCAGTCAGCCTAACATCAGTAGTGGGGAAACTCCTGGAGAATATAATCCAGGACAGAATAAATCTTCACTTAGAAGAATATGAGTTAATTAGGGACAGCCGCACGGATTTATTAAAGGCAAATCTTGTCTTTAACAAATCTAATAGAATTTTTCGATGAGGTAATGGAGAGGGTGGATAAAGGTAGTTGGTGTAGTTTATGTGGACTTTCAAAAGGCAGTTGACAAAGTGCCACATGAAAGACTTGTAAGGAAGATAGAAGCCCATGGTATAAAAGGGACAGTGGCAGCGGATCCAGAACTCACTGGGAGACAGAAAGCAGAGAGTTGTGGTGAACGGCTGCTTTTCTGACTGGAGGGAAGTGTACAGTGGCGTTCCCCAGGGATCGGTATTAGGACCACTGCTCTTCTTAATATACACAAATGATCTGAATTTGGGTACAGCAAGTACCATTTCCAAGTTTGCGGATGACACAAAGTTGGGTAGGGGAGTAAACAGTGAGAAGGATAGTAGACAACTGCAGGAAGACATAGACAGAATGGTAAAATGGGCAGACACATGGCAGATGAATTTCAACATTGATATCCCTTAAATCTTTCTTTGTTACAACACAATCCAATTCCATTTTGGGAATAGTGCCAGTAGAAGAGGATATCACCAACAATGTGCACTTTTGCATTGATTTACATTAAGCGTACAACACAGAAATAGGTCAATCAGCCTAGATATATTATAGAAGAGCAGTGGTCCTAAGACATAGACAGAATGGTAACATGGGCGACACATGGCAGATGAATTTCAATGTGGAGAAATGCGAAGTAATGCACTTTTGGAAGAATGAGGGGAGGCAATATAGGCTGATAATACAATCTTAAGGCGGGTGAAGAAACAGAAAGACCTGGGGGTGCAGGTAAATGAATCCTTGACCCTGTAGATAAAGTTCTAAAAAGGGCATATGGGATTCTAGGCTTTATAAATAGGGCCATAGAGTACAAAAGTCAGGAGGTTATGATTAACCCATATATAACACTGGTTAGGCCTCAGTTAGAATGCTGCGCCCAGTTCTGGGCACCACACTATAGGAAGGATGTTAAGGCATTGGAAAGGGAGAGGAGAATCACAAGAATGGTACCAGGAATGAGGGACCTTGATTATGAGGAAAGGCTGGAGAGGTGAGGATTATTCTCATTGGAGCAGAGGTTACGAGGACCTAATAGAGGTCTTCAAAATCATGAGGGGATTTGATAGGTTAGAAAGGGAGAAACTGTGTCCACTGGTGGGTGTGTCGGTGACTCGAGGTCACAGATTTAAAAGTCTCTAAAAGAAGTCGAGGGGAGGGGAGAAGAATTTTTTTCACACGAGTTATTCGAATCTGGAACGCATTGCCTGAAAGGGCGGTGGAGGCCGATTTGATAACTACTTTTAAAAACGCGGTGGACGGGTATTTGAGGACGGGTCTGCGGGTTATGGGGAAAGGGCTGGGGAGTGGGACTGACATTACATTGCTCTTTTCAAAGAGCTGCACAAACTCGATGGGTCGAATGGCCTCTTTTTGTGCTGTATGATTCTATGATATGCCTTATATTGTCAAGACATCTCAAAAGTGCTTTGCAGGATTTACTGTACAGTGGACTATTTTCATTGCACCCAGCTGCCAATTTGTCCCACAATTCATAGGATTTACTGTGAAGTCCAATCACATACACTCTGTCCCACAAACAGCTGTGAAATATTAGTCTATTTCAGCTAAATTCAGATTTAACCTGTTATTTTCCTTATTGGGTTTATCAATGAATTGGTTTCCTGGGTGTATTATTATCTGTAGTCTCGGAGAGGACAAATGCACATCACATCCACTTCATAAGCTTCTGCATATTCTCATGCACTTCCTGGATATGATGGGTGTGTTTGGGTGTTCCTGCAACATTGAAACTGTTTTACAAATTAGTCACGGCATAATCAATGTTAGCAAGAGGCTGTAGCCACGTATTGTAGTACGAAAAGGGTGATTAGAAAGGCAGTTGCTCACCATTTGGAAAGCGTGTTTTTCTCACGCCTTCCCCAACACAGTTCCAAAAAAAAATGCAGTGTTCAATGTTTTGTTTATGCTCCCTTAGCCCTTTTAATAAAGTAACAACAGAAATAACTCAAATGAAATCTAGAAAACATAACAAAACTTGAACAAGCTGGAAAAGATCAGAAAGAAATCCAGCACCCACATGTGCAAATTACCCAGTGAAACCTGACGTGATAAACTACTCTGTTCCCATCAATTGATTCTGGCTTCAGTGATAAAGGCAAAACCTTGAGTGCAGCCCTTCCCTGCAGCTGTGGTCTACAGTAATAAATATCTACAGCAAAGAAACTGAGCTAAGCAGCTCAGGCTGAAAAATCAATTATGTTCTCCCCAACAACAATAAATCTAACTGGTGCTACAAAGCTACAGTGCATATTGCTGCAGTCACACTGAGGCAGTTGCTTTAGCTGTAATGCCACCTGTTCAAATGTCAATGATCTACATTCTCTTATTTATCAGTTTCGATCTTGGGGAAAATGAAAGCAGGGTTTATTGGAGGTAATCAGGAGTGAGTAATGAAGCCAAACACAAGTTAGTAGCAGACTTCATTTCTAGAACAGTTATACTCTGAGTGCAGTCAAACAAGAATTCTGAATTGGATTGAGATGGTGTTAAGGTAAGATTAGGGTTCTGCAGTCAACTCCAGTAGTACTCTCCAGGCACCCCAAGCCTCAGCTCTTACCAATCTCCACCTAATACTATTTGGAAGTAGATAAGCAGGATGTGCACTCTCCCTCTCTGTCACTCCATAGACTGCATGGATTGCATTCTCCTGCGATGGGTTTCCCTTGGCTGATCAACGAAAAAAAATCTTGCATTGCAAAGTCTGACCACATGAACCTCTGGGGAAGAAACTCAACTACAATTTACATTTGTATTGTGCCTTTAATTTCGGGAGGACGTCCCAATGCATTGGCACTTTAAATCTCCTCTACTCTTGGATTTCTATTACCTGCAGATCAGCAATTGAGGAAGTTTATTTCCTGGGCCGTTCTCCCGACATGAAAGGCTCTATATAAATGTAATTTTGTTGTGTTGTTGACTTCCTGTATCCTGTAGAAACCTGTATAGGTCATATCAGTGGCCAAAAGCTATGTCAAATTTCTCCTTAAACAAATTAAGTCTAATCTACTCCTCCCATGTAATAAACAAGAGGACGAGACAGAAAACCATCTGTTTGGCAACACGTTTATCCACCATACATAATAACATGCACAATCAAGTGACAATACATATTTACAAAGTGGATTGCACTTAATGGAATACGAGGAGCCATTAGTGACAAGGAAGTAACAGAGCATGTTCCAACTCACATTATGGAGTGATCTTCCCAGTGTCAGTCACAGGCGAAACAGCAATTTTATCAGTTGGGGGTGTGTGTGTGGGGTGGGTGGGAGTTATACAGAAGACGTTCGATTCCATACATTTCTTGATTGGATTAACCCGCTAATGCCTGAAAGAGCTGGTTGGGAAACCACATCCTTTTAAACTGTAGGCAAATTAGTCCCTTCCTGAAGCTCCAAGTATGTTTTGGGGGAGGGGGAGGAGAAAGATTTCAAACATCTGCTGCAAGCTTTTCCTGCTCACTCCAGGGCTTTGCACACAGCTCAGCCATCCAGGCAGCGTCTGAATAGAGCCAATACCCGTGCTCCCAACGACCATAATTCCGAGAGAGTTTGACTTTGGAAACTTGCCCTTCCTCAAGAAGGTGCAGGCTCTGCTCCAGCCCCAACCTCAGCACTTTGCCTCACGTGAACAGGAAATTCACTGTGCGCAGATATTTACATGCTCTGGGAATGTGTTGGTCTGTAATGTACTGAAAGTTCAACCATGTCAACACACAGCAGCACGCTGATCTGCGTAACTACATTAAGATGCACAAATAGGCGACTTGCAAATAAAATTAGATAGAGGTCGCAACACCAGTTGTCAGAGAGAAAGGAAAAAGAGGTTTCCTTTGAAAGCTCCAAAGGCTACAGCTTATAAATACTTTAAGCATGTTGCAGGATATAAAGGCCTCAGTAGCATCATAAAAGGGATACATTCACATCTCGATCTCCAGTGACTCAAACAGCCACCATCAGATTGAAACAAGCACAAAGTCTGCACCTAGGCTGAAACTTACTGTGTTCAAGGATTTTGAAGGGACTGAGTTTTTTTTTCTAAAAAGAATGAAGACGGTTATGTACAGAAGTATTGCTTCACTGGTTTCAAATGTCATAATTACAGTCCAAAGAAGGAAATGGGAGAGAATGCACATGCAAAGTAGTCAAATCACAGGGGAAGTCCATATGCATAAGGAATGTTATCTACTGTTACGAGTCGGAGATTGGAACAAATTTCACTAATCACATAGGACACGACAGAAGCATTCACGACACGCGAGCGAGCGCGCACTGGGGGGAATGTGGGGCCCAGGGCCGTGCCCGGCAGGTCACATGTTCTGGCAACACTGCAGTTTGCTGGATTTCTGACCGTCAGTGGTCGGGGGGACGCTAATGTCCACCACGTTGTTGCCAGGAGACTCGTCGTGCGCCGATCGGTCCGAGATCTGCTTCTGCGAAACGATGCGGTAAATTTCTGGAAAGAGAGAAAGGTTTTCTGACTGCCTGATAGACCGTTCACACTTCACAGAAAACTAGAATCTGCGTTCAAAGGGCTTAAGGATTTCAGCCGGTTTAAAGCATTGCAGGAAAACATTGCAACTTTTCACTAGTCAGTGCTCAGACCTAATGGCCTCTCTGGCCACTGCCAATGTCATCACATCACCATCACTGCTGGGAACTGCATAACAACCCAGTAAGAAGCCTTCCCTGTGATTAAGTGCCTTCCTCACTCCAGCACCCCCTCCCCAGGTCACAGCCTAGCTCCTCAGGTGTGGAACCTGAGGCACAAACATTCCCAGCCCTGGGTCTGAGGCCACGTTGATCTCTGAGAATCGCTCTTTCCTTTACCTGTAAGAATATTTTTGAACGCTTCCTCTACATTAGTTGAATCCAAAGCCGACGTTTCAATAAACGAAAGATTGTTTTTTTCTGTAAAATATAAAACATCATTAAACTTCAACCAACTGATACCGACCCTGTGAATTTACAACAACAATTCCAAGGACAGGAATATCCACACGTAGGCGGGATGCATGGAACTGGATTTGGTTTGGATTCTTAGAAGAACAGTGATCCCGACTGACAAAAAAAACAACTTATAACAGAATTATTTTTGCCAATTTTAATCCTTCAACTGGAGAAGAGAATTCTAGGTCCCAGGTACCCTCTGCTATCACACACGAGTGACAACAAGCTCAGTGAGAACCGTAGGATATTTGATTAAATGGATACATCCTTCCCATCCTAATCCACTGGATAGTTGCCATTGATCCTGGCCAACTGGGTTCCCTCCAAATGTCTACCCTTTCCTCCATCAGCCATCGCAACAACCCTCCAGCGACGGCCAACCCTCCCCCTGCCAGTCATCACACTGCCCCTTTCCCAATGGTCAGGGACCACCACCTCACCCACCTGCAAATGCCCGGGCCTCATCGGTGGGCACTGCTCGCAGGTGACGGAGGTCGCTCTTATTGCCGACCAGCATGATGACAATGTTGTTGTCGGCGTGGTCCCGCAGCTCCTTCAGCCACCGCTCTACGTTTTCGTACGTCAGGTGTTTGGCAATATCATACACGAGCAGAGCACCCACAGCCCCTCGGTAATACCTGAGGACAGACAGAGACAATGGAGTCCACACTGCCTGTCATATGTGCTGAAAGGTTGTAGTTTCATCTCTCATAAATGAGGGTATAAATGAGCGTGAGCGACAGTTGGCTTTTTTAAAATTAAATTTAGAAATTAAAATTAATTTCTGTGATGCTTACGCTGAAGTGATGGCGCGGTATCGCTCCTGTCCTGCCGTGTCCCAGATCTGGGCTTTAATTGTCTTTCCATCCACCTGAATACTTCTGGTTGCAAACTCCACCCCGATGGTGCTCTTACTTTCCAGGTTAAACTCATTGCGGGTGAACCTTGAGAGAAGATTGCTCTTTCCCACACCAGAGTCTCCGATCAGCACAACTGGAGGGAATAAAGAGGGTAAAACATGTGTCCTCGCCTCAATGAATAACGATTGGAAGGAAAACATCCAGAAACCTGTTATACAATCCATGCTGTGGATTCACATAGTGGACATTTTACTCGAGCTACATTTACAGGCAGAAAATTGAAATCCTGTAGCAGCATTCTGCAACTTACTCAATTGCTGGTGTTAGAATCCACTAAAAATCTACACCAAATTCTTCAGACGATTTCCCTGTAATTTCTGTTACAATATTTTGATACTCAAGCTTATCCTCAGGGGGTGGAAGTGGGGAGGGAGAGGTCTTCTCAGGGCTAAGCTGTGACCAACACAATGGAATTCACTCCTCTGTGGGGGGCCAGTTTGTGAGCCAGGGAGGTCCACAGTTATCAGGGCAGTTACCTGTTGATAATAGAACAGCCAACTTGACCTGTCAGCAGTACTAGAAGGTCACTGGGGGCTCCTCTCCCACTCGGCTCCTGTTCGCCCTGCAAGCCTAACGGGTAGGGTGGTACCAGTTTGATAAGCAGCAGAAAACCTGCTAGACTTGCTGGGGTTAGCAACGGCAGGCTTCGTGGTTTCGCTGGTTAAACAGCTCCCAATGTACACTCTGGGATCTCCAAGCCTTGCCAACCTGCACCTAATATTTTCCCAAATTAGATTAGCAGGATGCGGCACTCCAGAGAGAGAGAGAGTGTATTCCATTCCAGGCTCAGGGAAATGTCACTGTATTGAGTCATACATGTGTGGAAACTTGGCTTTGGATCCTCAAACCTGGTGATGGGTTTCCACACATGGAAACTAGTTACACCTTCACTCTGTGACAGGAGAGCACAGAGCCAACATGGACAGTAAAGCTCCGGCCTGATATTCCCGAGAAAGGAATACCCTAGGTCAGGGCAGCACATAACATCCCGACAGGTACAAACTACTCCTCCACCAAAGATAATTAATCCATAGCTGTCAATCAATTAATTCAGCATTAATTGTTTCTGACAGCATCAAAATGAGCAATAGAGTTGATTTTCCGGTTCCCAATGTGAGATGTAGTGGGAAATTTCACAAACTGGGTTGGCAAAAGCTTAATCTAACCTTACTGCAAAATCCACACATGTTTTGTTAAAAATGCAGATAGTTTCAGTCAGAATTCATATTTGGCAAAGCAATATTTTCCATAATAAAGATGCTAAACAGGAAACGAGCATCGACCTGGACCAGTGGACGGCCCTCTGTTACCAAGTCCCTGAGCTTTTTCTACATAAAACATAGGCAAACTGCTCACCTCCCCAAACCAGACTTAATAGATTTGCGATAGGTTCCAATCTTACCAACTTGCCTCTTGAACCAAGTTATCCTGTCCATGTCAAAGACATGAATACTACAGCACAGAAACAGGCCACTCAACTCCTCTATCAGTGTTTATGCTCCAAATGAGCCTCAACCCTCCTAATCTCCTCTCCAAACCCCTCTATTCCCTTCTCCCTCATACAGACTTCAAGGTTCCTCTTCAATGCATACTTCAAACATGGCTCCCTGCAGCGAGTTTCCCCTTTTCACCATTCCTGTGTGTGAAAACGTTCCTCATAAATTTCCTTTTAGATCTGTTACTAGCTATCCTATATTTACAGGCCCTCATTTTTGACTCACCAACAAGTGGAAACAGCCTATTAGCACCACTTTATCAAATCCTTTCATAATTTTAAATACCTCTCAATCATCTCATTTCCAGAGATGAAAGCTCTGACCTGTCCAATCTTTCTTGACATCCCCGGTAACACCCTGCGCTAAAAAATAAATCCATGCTGCCTTGGGAAGTCCTCCCGACGTGAAAGGTGCTCTATAAATGTAATTTTGTTGTTGTTGCCTTTACAAGCAAAAACATCCTTCGTCATTCTCAAATCATGTATGTCCTTTACATTTGAACCCTAACTTTAGGCACATTTGCCAGAATGGCTTTTTGATGGAAACCGCTCTACTTTCCAATGAACATGGGTACTTTACACATAGCTCTATATTCCTGAACTGTTGCAAGAGCTCAGTCTAGGATCACAAGAATTCTTGACACTGGTGGTTGATCATAACTGAGCCAGCTAACCAAATAAGGTACAATCTGGGCCGAGAGATCGGAATTAACCACTGGAATCAGTTTCCCTCTACCTCAGCAGGTTTGTAGTTTAAGTGATTGCTTAGTCAACGTTTTCTGAAGTAGATAATAAAAGCAAGTCTCAGACACCAACCAAACTTTGAATTTGTAATACTTTGGTCTTTTAGCAAAATCTGGATAATATTTAGACAAAAGCATTGCACAAGTATCTCCAAATTTTAAAGGTTGTTTTTGTATCCCTTAGCTGGTAACTCAAAGTGCAATATGTAAACCTTTGCAAGATTATAGTGGTACTGTAGTATGGTAACTTGAGGATTCATACATTTTGATTCTAGTCATGTTACCTTCAAAATTGTGACCTGGGGAGAAGAAAGAGTTAATATAGCAGACGATGCACAGCCACTTACGCCTTATTAGTTGAGAACTAGAACAGATAACCACAGGCATGCCAGGCATTCAAGAAATGCCTTATTTTGCAAAATTATGCTGACGCCAGTCAATAGGGACAATCACCCCAAAGAATAAATGTGTCATGCCAATTCAATTAGAATATGGTTCTTCAAAGTTCACTATTACAAATATTGCTAATAATAAATTCTCCTTACACCTGGAGTCTTAAATAATAGCCCAGAGCTCACAATCAATCAGTGACAAACTCATAAAGTATCTAAAACAATTCTCAGTATAATATTATGAGAAGCCATCAATTTTCCTTCAAATCAAGATTTTCTGAAGTTTGTGTGAGCAAATACTGGAAAAGCAGTAAAGTTTATGACTAAATCTAAACTGAGACTGAATCATAACAAATTGTGATCAAGTAAATTGCAAAATTCAGAAGTATTAATCTCATTATTGAGGCAGTGTGGCTGAGGAGCAGTACAAAAAGGTAACCCATTGCCCACTCCTTAGATCAGGGTGGTGAAACTGACAGTCTGCAGGCCAATTTCATCTGCACCCGCCTCCCAACTCCCTCCATTTCAGCTGGCCCACCCATAAATGTTGTTATGTTTCTGGAAGGGAAACACAAAAATATTGCTTATGCGGGTCGTGGACATTTATCAAATAGGGATTCCGTCCGCCGGAAGCCAAAAGGTTGGCTCATGGCTGCTGATGCCCATTAGAAACAACAGAAAATGTCCATTATGGCAGCACCTGGTGAAGACCTATACACTTAGCCAGCATGCAAAATGGCCATTTTATAAAGAAATCGGTCCATACCTGTAACCAATTTGCCATTAGTTTCCCTCGCTCCAAATTAGAAGCATCCCTCCCACCACCCGAATGCAACCCCTACTGTTGAGAATAGGTTCCATGTCTCACTTGGTGACAACATGGAAAAGTTGCACTGACTTTAACCAATGTAACACCAAAACTGGTGTTGGTGTTACATTGTTCTACTCTTATCATGAATTTTCTGAAAATATTTGGGATCCAAGGATTTTGTCATCACTCCAGAAATGCACAGAGCAAGGCTCATTTATGCAGTACTGCTTTTCAATCCACCTCCATAAACAAAAAGCAAGCTTGGACAGAAAGCTCTTCTGGTAGGGAGTAAAACACTCAACCCTGAACTACTTGGCAACTCTTTAAAATTCTTCTGAGCGAATCACTCCCAAGCTTCATATTTCCATGAAGCCTTTCTTCTTCATGAAAACAACTTGGAAACTACAGAACTGATACAAATAATCTTATTCTCTGAATATTTGTTGCAATATTACCCACAAGGGTCAGAAATGAGCAAACTCAGCTGACAAACGAAACTGAAAAATTAGTAGATATGTCTGTTATACAATCCAGTTTAATTCACAAAAGAAGTGGATGCACCAAATGCCGCAGTATCGGAGGAGAAGGTAGAGGAAAAAAACAGGATAAGTGTAAACAGAGAGGAAGTACTGAAAAGGTTGACTGGGCTCAAGGTAGATACGTCGCCCGGTCCAGACAGGGTCGTACGGGAGACACGGGTACAAATAGCGGAGGCTTTGGCTACAATTTTTCAATCTTCGTTGGACACAGGAGTGGTGCCAGAGAACTGGAGAGTGGATGAAGGTAGTGCAGTTGGTGTAGTTTATGTGGACTTTCAAAAGGCATTTGACAAAATGCCACATGAAAGACTTGTAAGGAAGATAGAAGCCAATGGCATAAAAGGGACAGTGGCAGCGGATCCAGAACTCACTGGGAGACAGAAAGCAGAGAGTTATGGTGAACGGCTGCTTTTCTGACTGGAGGGAAGTGTACAGTGGCGTTCCCCAGTATTAGGAGTCCTGTGGCTGTTTCTAACTGGAGGGAAGTGTACAGTGGCGTTCCCCGGTATAGTAGTCCTGTGGCTCAGTGGTTAGAGCACTCACTTTGCAAGTGAGAGACCTGAGTTCAATTCCAGGCAGAGGGCGAAACCTTGGGCAAGTTTCCTTACTCCACACAGAGCCTAATAATAAGCTCCAAAACCAAAAATAATAATAAATTGGTCATTTTCAATCTACGACTGTTTGCGGGACATTGCTGTGCGCAATTGGCTGCCGCGTTCGCCCACAAATATACAGTCAATTCACTTTACAGTGTGTTCTGTGAAGCGCTTTGGGACGTCCTCCCGACGTGAAAAGCGCTATATCAAATGCAAGGATTATTATTATTATTAGGACCACTGCTCTTCTTAATATACATAAATGACCTGGACTTGGGTATAGCAAGTACCATTTCCAAGTTTGCAGACGACACAAAGTTGGGTAGGGGAGTAAACAGTGAGAAGGATAGGAGCCAACTGCAGGAAGACATACACAGAATGGTAAAATGGGCGACACATGGCAGATGAATTTCAACATTGATATCCCTTAAATCTTTCTTTGTTACAACACAATCCAATTCCATTTTGGGAATAGTGCCAGTAGAAGAGGATATCACCAACAATGTGCACTTTTGTATTGATTTACATTAAGAGTACAACACAGAAATAGGTCAATCAGCCTAACTGGCCCGGGCCAGTGTTTATACATCTATAGCTCCTTTCAAGTAGGGAGAAACTCTCAAAATACTCTACGAATAACTGAGCTGGGAGGAGATATTAAGGGTAGGAGAAATAGTCAAAGAGAAAGATCTTTAGAAAGGTTTTGAAAGTAGAGAAGAATTTCAGAAGAGAATTCCAGAGGGTGGGCATAGCAGGTGTCAGTAGAACAAGTCAAGGATAGAAGATCTAGGCTCATGGAGCAGTAGACAACTTGAGGCATGTAGTTCTGAATGGAGCGGACCTTGTGGAAGATGGAGCTGGAGAGGCCAGTGAGCAGAGTATTGGAAAAGTGGGAGTCTGGAGATGACAAAAGGGTAGATGAGGGTTTCAGATGTGCTGGGGTGACAGTGACAAAGGCAGCCAATAGTATGGCAATAGAGGAAAGCAGACTTGGTCATAGTCAGACGAAAGATTTAAAACAGAGTTGAGCATCAAAGAAAACACCAAAGTTCCACACGTGTGACTTTGACCAGTAGTGTCTCGGGTCAGTGGGCAGGGTGAAAACCAGATTGGAGTGAGTGATGAGACGAAGAGAGGCAACAAGTTCCAACACCCAGGAGGACAGGTTGGAGATCAGCAATAAACACAGTTTCGGAGGGGGGAGGGCAAAGCAAGTTTTTTTTAGAAGGAATGTAGATGGGGACTACCATGGCAGAAACAGCGGTTAGGTGGATAGCATCTGTGTGAGCATAGGATCAAGGGGACAGGTAATAGGGGTCCTGTAAAATGATGGGGAGGGAAGATGGGGAGATGCAAAAAATCTCAAATTTTAGGCACCATGAAGTCCCTAATCTCATCGCTATAAGGATCTTATTTGGCAGTTGCCTGAGAATCAATGATTGTGGTCACGGAGAGAAATACTGAAGATCGAACTCAGCGTATTCACATCAGAGAAAAGGATTCCCATCGAATGGGAAGCAGATGGCAGAGGCAGACCTGCTGGCAGAGGCTGCTTCAGAAGTTTACCCAATGTCACTGTATTATTGCAGATTTAAATCTCAGGCACATTTTGCCGCTTTAACAAACACTGCGAATTATAGCTCCCGAGATTAGGTGTGAGGCTGTAAGTGGGTCAGGGAGCGCGGGGCTCGAGCCGCTCTGCTCCAGGCTCTTCCCAGGCCCAACCGACCACAGGCAGCGCCGTGTGGAACTCGCGAGGCGGACACGCCCGACCCGGGTCCCGTATTCACTTCTCAGGATCCAGTGAAAGACTCGGCGGGGCTCCATCAAATCAAGCGGCAGGCTGCGGCCTAGCCCTCACCACTAACTCTCCTCCTGATAACGCTGCCCGAGGCCAGTCTCCTCACCTTTAAAGAGATAATCGTACTCATCGTCCCTGGTTCCCATTTTTGGCGTCAACAGACGTGGCTAATACCGGACCGAAGTCTGTGGTAAAACGCCAACGACAACCGCGACCAAACCTCTTCCTCCTCGGCCCGAGCCCAACCCCTAGCGAACAGCCGGAAATCGGGCATGGCGCCGCTCGCCTCTCTGACTGACAGCTCCCTCCACCAATCGGGAAGGCGCTGGACACAGACAGCCCATAGCAGTCTATCTCCATGGCTACCGCGCGCCCGCCCCGCCCTCACCCGCACTGCGCTGCCTCTCCCGGTGATGTCATCCCAGCCTGCCTCTCAACCCGCCGCGTCCATTGGCTTCAGCTGCAGTCAATCAGCGGAAACGGTGGCCGACCATTGGTCACTGCGAGTGTCCGTCACACTCTTTATACCCGCCCCTCACATCCGGTGCAATACCCCGTTTCGCTCGTGGGTGGAGGTTGTTGGCAGCGCGAGAGGAGGCGGGTGATGGCAGAGAGGGGCAATGGGCCGTGCGGTGAGTGACCGCGGCCGGCGCTCGGGGCGGGGACAGAGAGCAGGGCCCTGGGAAGAGGCAGGTTGGAGGTAACGGAGTGAATGACGGTGGGGGTTAGTCGTTAATCGGTGCCCCCCGCCGTTGCTGTGCGTCACCCGTCTGCCGTCTGTCTTCTGTTAGTTTGAGGAGAATTCCGGCATTAACACCCCACCCACCCCGTGTGAGCTGTCACTCGGCCCCGGAGCCTGTCCGCACCGTAAACACTCGGCCGGCGCCCAGCCCTCACAGGACGGGCGGGGTCTGCCGGAGCCGCGCTGCCCCCCCCTCCCCCCCCCCGAGGCTTTCACAACTCCCGATCTCTACACGGAAGCTCTACACAATGAGATCCATCAGAAATGGAGCGAATGTTATGTTTGCACATGTGTGTGTGTGTGTGTGAGTGAGTGGTGTGTACGTGTCTGTATGTGTATAGTCACCATTTCTAATCGTTTTGATTTTGTGAAACGCTTTTGAGATCCCTGACTTGGTGTTTACTGTACACAGACAAGTTATGGACAATCATTGCGGTCGGTTTGGTCAGTCCGGCGGGTGTGTTCCCTGCATTCATTTAAAATGTTGGTTTTGCCTGGTGACTGACTCCTTTGGGGGGCGGGGGGGAGGTTGATTCTGAAAAGGTTGAGGACATTACTGGTTATATTAGGATAGGGGCGGGTGGGGGCTATTCAGCTGGTGGGTGGGCAAATCATCAGAAGATTATATTTAAGCCTAAGGAGGCAAATGGCGTACTTGTGTTCCTGTGCAACTTGACTGTGAGTAGCAAACAGTGTTGTTATGGGTTTATCTTGGCCGATGAAACCAGATTTGTTTTGAGTCAGAAAACTTTGCCTTTCATGTCTGATTATGATTTACCTGAGACCTACCTGGGTGAAGGTGCGATAAGAATGCATATTGTTGTTGTTCTGGGAATAAAAAGTGCAACGGAGTGAATGACGGGAGGGGACGTGGTTAGAAGACTTTAGATACTTTAGAAGACCTTAGATGCACAATTGAGGATGTTTAAAAGGCAGCGAGATAGATATCTGGGAAGTACTGGTATTAAGAGAAAAGGTGTGGAAGTGCAATAAAAGGTCTTCCAGATCTAATAGATTGATAGAGAATTCTTGATGGCCTGAGTGGCTTACTCCTGATTCCATGTTAATCAACTTTAAACTTAGAAAAGTCAACATAGTTTTGAAACTTGGACAACTTCTTGGTCCTAGGGAGATTGGCCCAATGGTTGGCTGATGAGTTGGGACTGATAACCCTTTTTCAAGTTTTTTTATATGCATTAAGTTTTCTAACATCATCAAATGTAATCTGCTGTTATGTCAGGCTCCCCGACTGCTCTGAGACACTGCCCGTGTGAAGGGCGCTGTATAAATGCAAGTTGTTGTTATGGTGAAATTTAGCCAGTAATTGAAGGTTTGAGTGTTTGATGTCAATGCCCAGTGCTGGCAGATGGACCTGGATTGGGGATCGGATTACATTTCCTTTGCTGAGCGCCTCTACTGTTGCTGTTCCCATTAGACAGGAAGGGGACCAATTAGCACGGCTTTGGGAGGTGTCAATCATCTCGGAGACGCCGCTAATTTGTCCTGTCCACTGGATTCAGCCACTGTCACCCCCAGACCAGCTTGTGAATGGATGGAGTCCGCTGTCAATCAATTGTGATTTGACTCCTCCTATCTCTATCCCGGAGATGCAGACACTCGTGACCCAGAGTGAGGAGATGCAGCAGTGACCAGCGCAGCATTTTGCCCAGTTTAATCGGATTTTCATCTAAATTAACAGGTGTCTTTAAAAACGGTAAGAATACAGTTGAATCAGGGCTGGGCATTTCATCTGATTTACCCGGGTTAACTGGCGTCTGGCTAAAGCGGATTCACCTGTATTATTATTTTCATTTATTTATTTGGCGGGATTAATATCCCTGGAAAACCATTCGCCAATCGACTAACAACTGGGTTCCTTCTTACTGCTAGGTCTCTGGCGGTAAGTAGGAAACTTGACTAACATTTCGCCCTGTCAGGGAATCAAACTCAGATTCTCTCGTTCATTAGACGAGTGCACTAATCAATATGTTACAGGACTCCACCTGTATCAGGAGCCAATCATGGGGCTTTCAGGAACCGTTCATAGGGGCACTCAGGAAACTTTCCAATTTTTTATATTGTCTCTGATCCTCAAGAATTCACTCTGTTCAATGGGTATTTTTTTTCTCAAGGAAAAGATTATAGTACACTATTCTCTAGTTTCAAGAAGTAAAATGACACAAGATGTTCTGGCCAAGAGTTAAGTTCAAATACCTGTTAGGAGTGTCCCTATATTTTCAGATGATTTGTTGAAGCTATTATGAATTCCAAGGGTCTTGTCAGTGCATAGAAAATAAGTTGCAATTCCAAATTTAGTTGCTGGTTGGCAAATAAAAGAAAATTCCAACACAAAAGGCAAAGTAGTGCAAATGCTGGAAATCCGGTACAACAAAGGGGTCGCTGGGAAAACTCAGCAGGTCAGGCAGCATCCATAGAGACAGGAAAATGAGTTAATATTTCAGGTCTATGATATTTCGTCAGAACTAGAAAATCCCAATTTTGTTGCTTCAATTCTATTGAGGCTTCAGCTGGACTATTTAATACAGTATATAGTCATGTTCTTCAAATACTGGCTTAAGAAGAGAACGTTAAATTTTGAAAATAATAGAATTTATCAAGAGATTGGAAAACATATAGTTAGAAAAATAATTGTTACCATAGGAGTAATTTTTAGTCGCTAGAAGAGTATCTAGTCCCCAATTTTTTTATTAATTTATTGCCTGTAAGTATTTTAACTTATTCCGCTGATTAATAGTCTACATAATGTTCATTATGTAACGCTCAGCAGGCTCCATCCTGCTCCACATCCCCAGCCCACCCCACCGTCGGCGGTCGGGCCTTCAGCTTCTCCGCCTCCACCCTTTGGAACTCCATCCCACATTCCCTTTGCCTTGTTCCCTCCCTTGCCTCCTTCAAGGCACGCCTCAAGACCCTCCTCTTCGACTGCATTGAATCCGTGGCAATAAAGTCCTGACCCATTGACGTGTGCACAGTTGGATTATTGATTGAATTGGATTCCATACGATTTACCCAAGTTTGCCTGCAACTTACTTGCACAAGTCATGCTAAATGTTATTAGATATGCACCAGGTTCCATGACCCTTTCACCCTCATCCTTGTTTGACTCCACTTCCCATCACACAGAGGATATAGTTCAAGAACCTGGTCCTCACCTTCAAAGATCTCCGTGGCCTTGTTCCCCCCCTACTTATGCGAGCTCCTAATCCCCAACCAACCTGCCCGCTCCCTTGCCTCCTTCAAAACTCGTCTCAAGACCCTCCTCTGCCCTTCGACTGCCCTCGTCCACCCACCCTCCACCTTGCCCGATTCCAATCCCCAGCTCGGGTCCGAAACCCTGATTGTCCAGCGCCTTGGGACATCCTCCTGATGTGAAAAGCGCTATACAAATGTAATTTTGTATTGTATTTTGTATTGTCTTCCCTCCGAAAAGCCCAGTGTTTTTAGATCGAAACTGGTTCATGGCAGAAGGGGAACTAAATGTGAGATCTTAATTAATCTGCACTTACAAAGAATTTCAAGTTTTCTTGTACCCCAAATGGTAGAAAGTTGTTGCTATCATGGAAGATTTGCTGTGTGTTTTCAGCATTAGTGAGTTTCAGTAATTGTTCTGAGAGTCATTTCCTACTGCAGGTGAACTGCAAGGATCCTGCATCTACGATAATATTGAAATGATTAGAACGTTAAAATGTGTTAACATATGTGTTAATCTAATATTAAATAATAATAATCCTTGTATTTGATATAGCGCTTTTCACATCTTCGAGACGTCTAAAAGCACTTCACAGAATGTACTGTAAAGTGAATTGACTGTGTATTTGTGGGCGAAACGTGGCAGCCAATTACGCACAGCAGTGTCCCACAAACAGTTGTAGATTGAGTCTACTAAATTAGAACTCGTATAATGCCAAGTCAATTCAGGACTTGGAACTCATGTAGTCTAGGTTAATGATCCAATGTAGTGTTGGGGGTGTGCTGCATTGTTCGAGTTGCCATCCTTCAGGTGAGATATTAAACAGAGGTCTTGCTCATCTTCCTCTTCAGGTGGACGTTAAAGACCGCATGGCAAAGAGAAGTGTCATGTTTAACAATATTTTTTCTGGCCACTGAAAACGTGCTACAGATAGCGAACTTCAGTGCACTACAACTTGACTATGGATTATTTGTCTACAAAATACAGTCGTGACACCACAATAAGTCCTGTGAAGCGTTATGAAACAGCTTCTTGACATGAAAGTGCTATATCAAATGTAAGGATTATTATTATTTGTTGAGTCTGGTTTTATATCTGGCTGAGCACTAATCTTGGAACCAGCAATAGTATCTCAATTGGTCCACCCCAACCCTCAACCTTTTTGAAGCATTAACATTGGTAAAGTGGCTTTTTGGGATTTAAGAAACCACTAATGGGGGAAGAAAGTAAGTTACATCAACATAGAGTTAAATTGATTTAAAGTCAGGTGGGACTGCATTAATTCAAACTATCATTAATGATTCATCAACCTATTTAGTTCATGAATGAAATCTCAAGGTGTAGAATTGTGTTGAGTTGAATCCTAATGGATTTTTTAAATTATTTGTGTAATTGTGAGTATAAAGATAAAGAGTACAGTATAAAAAAATATGGTAATTTGGTGGATTTTTTTGATGTCTAGCTTGTTTCTTGTGGCTACAGTTTTGATGTTTGCCAAACAGAGGATTTGGCTGCTGTTGTATACAATTGGGTAGTTTAGTAGCTCCCACCTGGAGGCTGGGACAGAGAGGAAAGTATAATCTCTTGCTTGAGTTGTTGTGTAAATATGCCTCTGGTTAACTAGATTACAGAACATCTGTGATTATTTTATTAGAAATATTAATATAAATTAATGATAG